GGCACGCAGCAGGCCACACGCACGGCGCCGCCTCTTTGCCCGCAGACGCTGCCTGCACTGAAGGGGCTCTTGCCTGGCGCGTGAAGAGCCGCCCCTGCTTTGACTGGTCGGCCCGACTCGCCACTGTCTGTGCTGTTTCTCGCCCCCGTTCACGTGGGGCTGCGTGCGTCCCAGGACCATCGACCCCATCTTTCGTTTGGATCTCGGGCCGACCGTGGTTTCTCACGACTCCAACGTATTTTGCAAGGGTGTTCTTCGATAACAGAGCCACTGCGAAGCAAGTCTGCGGTCGAAAAAAGCGCGCGCGTGAGACACACGCGCCCTCACGGTGAACTGTTCCTCGACAGCGGCTCGAAGCGATACACAGAAAAGTGTTCCCACGGTCGTCCCACAGTAGATGGACAGGCGGTACGCTGACAAACCAACGTTGTGCAGACGACGTTGGCATTCCAATGCGTCCCGCTCAACGTTTTGCATGGTTCCGGGCTGCGGCTTGCTGACTCCCAAGACGGCCTCCGCAGGAATCAGACGGGCCAAAAGAGCCCTGATACTGCCCAAGCGGCCCCTGGGAGGCCCTAGGAGGTCCCGAAAACGCCCTCCAGGAGGTCCCCGAAGGCCCCTCAGAGGCCCCCCCAGAGTCGAGGGAACGAGATCGAGCTTGAGGCCCTCTCGAGCTCCGACCGCGCGCTGCCCTGCAGTGGGCCCTCTAACTCGACCTCCTTCACGCCGCGCTGCTGCGCCGGCGCGGCGCCTCGGAGGCCTCCCCGATGGGTCGGAGGCTCGCGCCGCACCGCGGATGCATCGGCTATGCATCTGCGATGCATTGGCGATGCACCGGCGATGTTGGCGATGCATTGGCGCCGTCGGCGTGGCGAACTTCGGGCTTCGCACCGCGCCGCGTCGCCGATGCATCGGCGATGCGGCGCGACTCACCGGCCCCCTCTGCTCGGACCCCTTCCCTGGGAGGCCTAGAGTGTCGGGGCTTGCCTTAGGTCGGGCGTGTCCCCCTGCAGGCGGACTTTGAGAAAAAATGAACAATAGTTAAACCCATACTCCAAAATAGTGTGTGTGTGTGTATATATATATGGAAAACCAAAACACATTCCCAGACTATTTTCTGCATGTTTTGAATATCCTCCTCTAGAGGGATGTGCCCGACTTGAGCCTCGAGAGTCGGGGCACTGCCGCGGGCAGCTGGACTTCGAGGGAAGCCGACACGGTAGTGGCCGACTCCGGCCGCCAGAGGTGATTGGAGAGGACACGCGAGAGGGCTCAAGACCCCTTCCGAAGGCCACATCGCCATAGGAGTGCAAGAAGGCACGTGTCGCGAGGCACAGGACACGGCACCCTTGAGCTGGATAGGTCGACCTGCTAATGAGGGTCTGCTGTAGACATCAGTGGGGGCCCGACCACAAGAGATCTTCCACGAGAAGCCCAACCCTGAAACCCCAGGGCGTCCATGGAGTCTGGGTGTGGGAGCGTCACGCTCTCTGCAGCAAGACCAGCGAGAAGCCCAAGAAAAACCCAGGGCACCGCCCCGGAGGCAAGCAGGGTGTCTCTCGGCATGGGCCCCCACTGCACCCGGGAGCGCAGCGGCGCCCCTCCGGCCACGAGCGGGCTCCCGACCTGGCCACGAGGACCGGCCCGAAGACCGGAGCCCCTGTGGAACCCTGGCAGGGAAGTCTTTTGTTTCCCTGCACGAGGAGACTAGTGACTCAGGGGCTCACCTAGCTACTCCTCGTTTTCCCCTTGATTGGGGGCCTGCGAACCTTCCGAATGCCGCTCGCAGAAGTGGATGCGTCCACGGCACGTTGCCGCCTCCTGGTCAAATCTCCCAAGCTACTCCTGCCCCGCATTGCGCAGGGGTTGGGTACGTCGCCAGGGTAATTTCTTCCTGCACGAGGAGACCTCCATCCGTCGCAGCCCGCCGCGCGACGAGGACGGGTGCTGCACCTGCAGGGGCCAGCAGTCGGTGAGCGGCCCTTCTGCTGCAAAAGTCACCCCTTTGCGCAGAGGAAGGAGGAGGAGGAGGAGGAGGAGGAGGAGGAGGAGGAGGAGGAGGAGGAGGAGGAGGAGGGGGAGGCGGGGGAGGAGGAGGCGGGGGGAGGAGGAGGTGGAGGGCTCGGGGGATCAAACGAAGTGGCCACTCTGTCAGCGTCTTGGCTGCACGAGGCCTGTCGGAAGTGCCCGCGACCTTTCCGGGGAAGCCTCTCGGAGGGCCGGGGGGAGCGCCGAGCTCGAGCCCGCCGCCGCTGCGCCGCCCCACCGGGCGCCTCCGCGAGGAACTTGTCGTGCTCGTCCCTCCGCAGCGCCGTCGCGGTGGAGAGCGCGTCCTCTGCGCAGGCCCGCCGCCCTGCTCCCAGTCCAGGGAAGGGGGGGGGAACGAGGAGGAAGGAAAAAAGGGAAGAGGAGGGGAGGAGCAGAGGAGAAGAGAGAGGAGAAGGAGAGAGGAGGCGGGAGGAGGAGAAAGGAGGAGGTGGTCGCACCGGGTCCCCGAATGCTTCAGACGCAATCCCTACCTCCTCGCCGTCATGCCGATACGCCTCCTCCTGCCGTTGTTCCTCCTTTTCCTCGTCCCCGCGCCCTTGCTGCTGCTGCTGCTGCTGCTGCTGCTGCTGCTGCTGCTGCTGCTGCTGCTGCTGCTGCTGCTGCTGCTGCTCCCCCTCCTCCCTCTCCTCCTCCTCCTCCTCCCCCTCCTCCTCATCCAACGGCTCTCCTGCTGCTGATCCTACTTGTGTTCATCCTCATTCCTTACCTTCCCCGCGCATGTTCAACACGCCTCAACACAGCGGGCCACGTCAAGACATCGACGTACGACCAGCAAAACAGAAGGAGCGCGCTCGATCGATCGAAGGAACCCCTCCCAGCCTCCCCCCCTTTCCCTCCCTTCGCCCACACTTGACAACTGCCCCCTGCCTGAGCACAGACACTCCTCCAGATCGGCCAGCCGCCTCACATCGGGCCACCACGCGTCCCGCCAGCCCTCTGGGCGTGGGTGGCCCAGCGGGCTTCCTCTTCCAGCCGCAGGCTTCTCTCTTCCCGGCGGGGGTTCATCCGCCCCCCTCCCCCCTGGGTCTGGACGGGGACGGGCCCGACCAGTCAGAGAGGCCAAGGCGGCCCAAGATGGCTCCAGGGGGGCCGAGAAAGCCCAGGATGACCCCCAAGATAGCACACTGCAGCTCAGGATGGCATCCGAAAACGCTGTGCTCCTGATAGTAATCCTCTGGAGAGAATGATACCAGAGAAAAGCCCCAATCAAAGTCTGTTTTAGGACTATAGGGCTTTGGGGCTATTGGGCTGTAGGGCGATGGGGCTATGGGGCTACAGGGCTATAGAACTAAAGGGTTACAGGGCCACAGGGCTATAGGTCTATAGGGCTATGGAACTATAGGGCTATAGGGCGACAGGGCTATAACGCTGTAGGGCTATAGGGCTATAGGGCTATGGGGCTCTGGGGCTATTGGGCTATGGGGCTATAGGTCCATAGGTCTATGGGACTAAAGGGCTATGGAGCTATAGGGCTATAGGACCAAAGGGCTATTGTGCAATAGGGCTATAAGGACTATGGGGCTATAATGTTCTAAGGCTATAGGGCTATAGGGCTATAGGGATATGGGGCTATAGGGCTATAGGGATATCGGGCTATTGGGCTATAGGGCTATAGGGCTGTAGGGCTATAGGGCATTAGGGCTAGTGGGCAATAGGGCTATAAGGGCTATAGGGCTACAGTCAAGCATATGATTCAGAAAACTATCGATTAAGAAAGCTGGGCCAGCTTTTCAGAAGTTTCTTTAGAAAACGCTGGGCCAGCGTGTGGGGCCAGCCAGGAACGTACACGATTCATTTGTCAGATTCAAGGCTACCAATCTCCTTAAAAAACATAGCCAGCTTTCTGGCGAGCTGGTTAAGAAACGCTGGGCCAGCTTTTCGGGGGGAGGTTTCTTAATCATAAGCGGGACCGGGCTATAGGGCTATAGGGCTCTAGGGCTATAGGGTATAAGGCTATAAGGCTATAAGGCTATAGGGCTGCAGGGCTATGAGGCTGTAAGGCTACAGGACTATAGGGCTATTAAGCTATGGGGCTATAGGGCTATACGGCTGTAGGGCTATAGGGCTACAGGGCTCTAAGGCACCCGAGCACCCGGGCACCTGGGCACCCGGGCATCCAGGCACCCGGGCGGGCCGCGGAAATCGGTGACGCACCTCACCTAACCATATGAATCCGCTAGGACCCCTACAGAGGCAAGCTCTGATTGGGGAATAAAGTTCAGGGTCCAGGAAAGGTAATAAACGTTTTCCCAGAAATCGCAGCATAATGATGAAGATGATGACGATGATGATGATCACGATGATCCTGGACGTTCACATGTACCCAAGAGGCTCCAAGATGGCTCCCGAGATGGCTCCAAGATGGCCCAAGAGAGCCCAGAGAGGGATCCCAATAGGACTCCGACGCAGCGCCCAGGAGCACCCTGCGAGCGAGAGCGAGCGGCCGCGTTCCGCCCCGGGAGCGCCCCGAGAGAGCCCCGTCGGCGTCCTGTTGGGCTCGAGATTAGCGGCGCTGTTAGGGGAACCCCCTTCCTGATCAACAGAATCGGGGATGGACAGAACCCCCTTCAGCAAAACGTGGTTTAGTGAAAACGACCTCGGGCCCAAACCTGGCGGGCGCAAGCCTGGAAAATGAGGGCCGCGGCGCCCTCTCGAGAACCGAAAACGGACAATTTACTAATCGACGTGTCAGGGTGGGGGTCCTGTCAACCCCCAAAGAAAGCATGTCCCTTAATGATTTTGTCACATCGAGGGCACAGCTTGGAAGCTGATGACCCAAGATGCTCTAGACAACCCAGGAAGGCTTCAACGATGGAGCAAGATATTGCAAGATCGATCAAGATGGCTTCCAACATGCTCCCAAAGGCCCCAAGACAACCCCGAGACGGCTCAGGAGCCGTCCAACGATGTCCCCAAGAGATCAATATCCTTCCCAACCCTAAAGAAACTATGTCTCCTTCCAGCGCGACGACTGGCGATGGTCAAGGTGGGAAACAACAGCTGCCTGCAAAGCGCAGCGCATGCGGGACCCCATCCCAGCAGAGCGCTGCCTGAAACATTGGCACACCGCCCGATATGTCACAATCGGCTTTGCTCTTGCACCTGGACGTGCCGTGATCGCGGTGGTGGATCCCCAGCGAAGTGGAAAATCAGTCACAAGAGGCATCTTTGATGGATGCTCTGCACGCCACCGCGTAACGCAGAACATGAGAGCATGAGAAAACATGAGGAGCATGAGGTCTTGGAAACAAGTCGAGGAGCATGAGGAACATGGTAAGTTAACAGCAAGCGCATGCGGAGAGGCTTTAGAGTTACACAAAAACTCGCTCCCCGTGCAGCAGGCCGCAACTGCTGAACAGCGTCGGACGTGCCATGATTGATACAGCGCAGCCGGCGACGACGAGCAAGCAATGATTCGAACACCCTCCTCCAGCCGCATCGCGCGGGTGCGGGCCGGCCCAGCCGCGCTGGCAGCTGTTGCTGAAGTCGCTGCAGGCGACCCCATCTCACTTGGGATCGCTGAAGTCCCACCAGCCCTTTAGGGCGTAGGTGGTCTGGGGATTTTCCTCCTCCAACCCCGTTCTTCCCCTTCGGGGAGGGGTTTGTCCCTCCCCCTACACCCTCCCCTGGACGGGGGGTTCCGCGGGTAGCTGGAGCGTCCAAAACGGCCTCGGCGAGGAAGCCAAAGTCATTGGTTTCCTAAAGGTTTTGGCAACATTTTGGCCTCCTGGAGTCCTGGAGGGGGGACCCTGGTTAAGGAACCCCCCTTCTTTGATCGATCTCCTCCGAATGGCCCCAAGAGCGCTCCCAAGGCTCCCAAGGGTGCCCCAAGAGGGCGCCAAGAGGTGGCCAGGAGGCCCCAAGAGGCCCCCAAGAGGCCCCCAGGATGCCCCCAAGAGGCTCCCAAGAGACCCCCAAGAGGCCCCAAGAGGCCCCCGAGAGGCACCCAAGACGCTCCAAGAGGCCTCGGCGAGAATGCCGAAATCACTGATTTTACTAAGGTTTTGGCAACATGTTGGCCTCCGGGGGGGGGGGGGGGGCACTGATTAAGATGACTCCAAGAGCGCCTGGGAGAGCCCAAGATGACCTCCAAGATGGCTCAAGATATCCCAAGATGCCTCAAGATGGCTCCCACGATGCTCCAAGAGGCCCCAAGACCGCTCCAAGACGACTCCAAGTGGCCAAAGAGCTCCCCCAGGAGGTCCCGAAGAGGTCAAAATTCTTCCAAAACCTTAGGAAAATTGATGCTGTTGGCTTTCTCGCCTTTTCGCTTCCGATGGCCATCCGACGCCTCAAGATCTCTCCAATATGGCCCAAGAGGGCTCCAAGAGTGGCTGAGAGCCCCGAGAAGGCCTCAATAGCGCCCAAGAGCGCTCCAAGAGCGACCCAAGAACGCCGCAAGAGGCGACTTTTTGGGCTCCCGAGGGGCAACGCTAAATAATGCTCCCCTCTTTGTTTGTTCGATGTCCTCCAAGATGGCCCCAAGAGCGCCCCCAAGGCTCCCAAGAGCGCTTCAAGAGGGCCCCAAGAGGCGCACAGGAGGCCCCAGGAGGCCCCAACAGGCGCCCAAGAAGCCTCCAAGAGGCTCCCAAGAGACTCCCAAGAGGCCCCAAGAAACTAATCGAGGCACCCAAGACGCTCCAAGAGGCGTCCGGGACCGCCAAGAGGCCCCCAAGACGCTCCAAGAGGCCTCCACTGGGGGACCTTTCCTCTGTGTGCTGCCCACTTCCCTGATCGAGGCAATTCCTCTGGGCATCGTTTCTGAATGGGCTGGTGGGGTTACGTTTTGATCGCGACGGCGTCGAAAAAAGGCGGGCGGCGTCCAGGCAGGCTGGTGGGGCTACGTGAAGCGGCTAGAATTCAAGAGCACCATTAGACACTCCAAGAGCCAATCTGCTGTCCCAGATCCCTTGGCCACAAGTATCTATCATTAGGACACCTCGGTCGAAACCCAGAGGTGGGCGCTGTTAATGTCGTGACTTGGTGCAGAACAGAAACATCCCCGGTTGTCCAAAACTCGCAAGATGCACGAACTTGCCGAACATACTGAAGCCATCGTAATGATCTTTTGCCCCAGGCGGGAGACTGACCTCAATCTGCTTCCGAGAGAACGCCCATACCTTTGGGAAGCGCGACGAGACATTCAGGTTCGCAATGTTGTAGAATGAGGTTACCCAATTACAGAGGGCACAATCAGCGAGACTCGTCTTCCCCGCCACGAGGCAGCCGGTGGCCAACGCGCCTGCGTCGATGTTTGATTCGAAGGTTGAGAAGAACTCGTGGAGCACCTTTATCTTCGACTTCTCCCACTCGATTGACTTGTTTCCCTTACCATATGCGCCAAGGCTTTCTCGAACCGGTCCTCGGGATAGTCCGCAACGCGCTTGTGAAAATGTTGCCAACCCCAGTGTATCACAGAGTCCATGAGCGCATCCTGGTACTTCTCGTTCAGGCTGACCAAAGTGTCCACCTTCTTCTGCTCAGTGCCACTGAGCGTCATGTCCTTGTACTGTGAATTCAAATGCGCCAGCATCAACTTGCTGTTCCCATACAGCTTCCCGTCCATCGTATAGCCAGGCATTGGGCCGTTGTTGCTGATTGCCCGCCATTCTGGGCCCCAGACGCCCATTACCTTCCCATCCCAAGGCTTGTCGTTGAAATCCATTGCCATGACTTTGTATTCAGAATACGGGAATCCGAAGTCGGCGGCCCTGTAGTCAGCAACATCGCAGCGGTATTGATTTTCACCGTTGACTCGGACAGCGTCGCACCCCAGACGACGAAGCCACTCTGGCAATCGAGCTTCTCGATCATGGCCTTGGACTCAGCTGTCATGACCGCTTCAAATGGCACTTGCTCAAGGTCAGCAGTCTGCGATACCATCGCGCAAGGATAGCAATCCTTATTGCCGAGAGGCCTTTCGGGACAACGTGCGGGGCCAGACACCCTTGACGCAAAATCTTGAACCAGAATTGCTATGGACAACCCTGAAGAAACCAATGGTTGTTACTGTCTCGCCTCAAGATGTTCCAAGAGAGATCCAAGAGGGGCCCAAGAGGGCTCCAACACGGCCCCAAGAGCGCCCAAGAGCACCCCGAGAGAGCTCCAAGAGGCGACCTGGGGAGCTCCACAGGGTCGGCGCCATCAGCATCCCATTCCCCCGATTTGACAAATAAATGCAAAAGCATTGAGAAAAACACGCTGTACACTTCGGGGCCATCACTGGGAAGCTTTTGGCCCAAAATGGCTCCAATATGGCCCCAGGTAGCAGAAGATGGCCTCCATGGTGGTTCAGGATAGCCTCCAACATGCCTCCGAGAGGCCACAGGGCCTCTCAAGGACGCTCCCGAAAGGCCAAACTTGTTCCCGAACCAGTGGCAACACACACACACACACAAGCACACACACACACACACGATCGGTGCATTATCGCTGTTTCGCTGTGGGCGCCTCAAGATGTCTCCACGATGGTCGAATTGAAACTCCCATGCCGGAATGGGGAAATCAAAAGGTACCGGTACCGCTACTCCCCGGACCTCTCCTGGGGCGCGTTCTGATCAGGATTTCGAGGCAAATCCAGCCTCCCAGGAGGACGGAACAAGGGAAAACGGGCGGAGGGTACAGGTATGGGTACCTTTTCCTCTTCTGACGGAGGCCCAACCTCTTCTCCCAGGCGTCCTGTGGGCAGCGGACTCACCAGGCCTGCCCGCCAGTGACAGCTCGCGACGCCGAGACGACGTCGTGGTGAGCTCCCGCCGGCAGAGGCGGCAAAGGACCAGAAGGCACCGATACCGCTACTCCCCAGACCTCTCCAGGGGTGCGTCCGGACCAGAATTTCCTACGGTGGCGACAGGGGCCCCCCAGGAGGCCCAAAAAAGCGAAATCGAGGCAGGGGTAGTGGTACCAGCACCTCCTCTTCATCCGAGGCAGGCGGGGCGCGCCAGCCTGGTCGTCGGCGATCTCGCTCTTGAGGGCCGCGATGGTGGTCTTCAGCTCGGCCTCTTTCGCCTCGCCCTCCTGCGGTGCGTTTCGCAGGCGCGCGCGGGCGTAACACCCGCAGGCGCGCCCCAGGCGCGAAAGCGGCCCGGAGGGTGGCCGTGCCTGGCATGACGAGCCGCTGGCCCGACGCCGACCAGAGTCTTCAGCTGGGCTCCTCCGCCCCGTCCTGCCGTTGCTGCCCCTCCTCCTCCTCCCTTTCTCCTTCTCCTCCTCCTCCTCCTCCTCCT